TGCAAATTCACAATACTTCTTCTAGTCTGATCATAAATATAACTCAATCTGTCGTTCAATGGCCATCATGGGGTCTTTCTTATTTCAATCAGTCAGCAAAACAATGTTTAACATATTCAGGTATCTCAAATGGGTGACATTTTTAAATCTTATGTAAGACATGAAATAAGTATCCAGTGCATAAACTCTTGAAGGGAACCAAAGTTATAAAAACAAGCACTCCACACCACAAATAAGGCTGTTCTCCTCAACATTTCCTCACAGATTTGTAACGGTGTGTTCATGCTGCGAGCAAATGCTCACAATGGAAGTCTGCCAATTTTCTATAAATCTGAGTAACCAGGGAAACTCAGCTGAGGTGCGGATGGATGGTCAACAAGTTTACTGGCTGAGCAAAGTTGGCCATCGCTGAATGTTCATCAACCATCAACAGGCAGCCTGAGCCTCTGTTTTACCGTACTTGAAATTCCATCACGTCACATCTGGCAACAGCAAAATGAGATGCTGACTGCAGAGGCTCAAGCCTTACTGAATCTCTGTAACATTAGTGTGAAAGTCTACAGGAGGAATATCTCAAACAGTGGTTAGAGAATAGCTGATAACTGATGCAGTAATGTGAGTTTTTACTGGCTTGCAAGAAATGCTATGCAAATATGGATTTAGTATCACCTTCTCTGCAGTTCCAAAATGTAGTACAAGGAGCGCATCCACAAAGAAGGTGGAGAACAGTGGCATTAAGAGCAGAACCTGTGACAATGGCTACATGGATTGCAAAGTTCCTGCTGTAGGAAAGGCTGATATACAGAAGCCTGTCGCTCTTTTAAAATACCCTATTATTTTATTATCATTATTATTATTTTTTAAAGCAACTTGGTAATGGACATTTTTAAATTAAAGGGACTATGTGTAAGATTTAGGGAGATACATTGGCAGATATTGTATATAATATTCAAAAGTGTTTTCGTAAGTGTATTATAAACTAAAAATACTACTAGTACTATAGAATGAGCCGTTAAATATTCTTATGGAGCTGATCCTCACCCACAGAGTCTGCCATGTTGTTTCTATGGTAGCCCACGACAAGCAAACCAAACACTGGCTCTCAATAGGGACATTCACATTTTCTGTTGGCCACTGTAGTTCTCCTACATGTTTGGCAAAATGGAGAAATTTCAGTTGGTTGCAATCTACCACCCCACTGCTAGATGGCACTAAAACCTACACACTAGGCATTTAATACTTTACCGTTACATGTTACCAGCTTGTTTTTAACATCTACTTAAAGGAGGCTATGTAACTTTTAAAAAAGGATATAACTAAACGAATATAAACATTTTTCCTTGTACAAATGAAAAGTTGCATTCATAGGTGATAAAACTAATCCTTGCTCAGTTCAGTACACTTTTTACTGCTACAGCCTAGATTAGTCTGGTTTTACCAGTAACTAATGGCAGCTAATATCAGCAGCTTTAAATAAATGGTGCCATTTTACTAACATTCCTAAGGCAGTTTTTTTTCTTCACAACATTCCCCATCTTGTGCTTATGTTCCATTACATCTTAACATTTAGCATTATGCTGTAATTGTCACTTGTGGTCACAGTGGCAGCTGTTCAACAGAAGTTGCCTAGTCTCCCTTTGAGTGGATTTTTACTTTAGCCAGTTTAACTCAATTTAACAGAAGGACCAGTGCTCTTTGTTGATTAAGATTCAGTGTTTTGTTTGTTTTACCAGCCATGTGCTTTACACACCAGCAGAGTTCTTGTGATGGCAATGTGGGTAAAAAGTCCCTGCATGTTGAATTACTGCTCACACTTGTATCTTGTGCATTTCTTTGACAGAAGCTCAAAACCATCAAAGTAATATAAGCTGCCTGTGAGATGCTGACAAAATAGATGTCTTAAAAAGCCTGATCAAAATTAATTAAAATGTAATCTAGCACTGAGATGGAGTGTCAGACATCCAGCTGTTTTGCTTAAAACCAGCTGCATGTTACAGTGTACAGCTGGGAGACGTTTACCCTGGCTAATGCTTCCAGCCCTTGTTTGAACAGCACACCCAGGACCCATCATGATACCGCCCGTTAGCCATTACCAAACACACCCACATTCGAACCACGGCACACATTCAAACCAACATACGGACACATACACTGAGGGAGGGGAGGGAAAAGAGCAGAGGGGAGACGGACAGACACCACTGACTGTGGTGTAAATAAAGACTTCATCAGAATTATGTTTCATTAGCTTTGATGGGCTGCGAGGCACCAAAGACCAAGTACAGCCGATGGGACTCTCATGACAAGTGTTATTCTAACTTATCAGTTCGACGGCATCCCCGGGTGAACTGTGCCCTCAGTGGATGAGGTACAAAAAGAGGAATGTAATAGAGAGGAAAAAGAAGAGAGGGATACAAAGGTGTGAAAAAAACTCCATACATATATGTGAGTGGTGAAACACAAATTCGATAGTTTTTGTACACCTCCAGGCTTTTTAGATAGCGGTGCTGTTGAGTGATTCTGTGTCAATTCTACTGTGGTCCCGCCATCTCACCAAGTTTTCATTAAAAGTTAAAGGAATAGTTTAACTTTTTGGAAAATTGCCTTTTTAGATGGAGTTATTCGTTTTTTTTCTTGTCAGCAAGTGCCAGGCAACCAGCAGAGACTCTGTGAAGTTCCTGCACGAGAACTAACTCAGCAGAGGTTGTTCTCATGCACTGTTTATACATTTTCCTACAAAAAGTAATGCACCAAAATTTGTACATGACCCATGTAATCATGAGCCATTAATTTGTGTGTATCCTATGTTTTTGGGAAGGATGCAATCATGTGGCCAGTGCCCTAATAGGCTTAAGAAGGAAGTGATCCTTTAAGGAGGCATGTTGGGTTGGTGGATGGGTCACAAAACACAGGATTTTCTCCCAGGACTTTGCCCACTAGACTGGTGTTCGGATCTGTGTGAACTTTGTGTCATTTTAAGGTATGTCATCACCATGTTTCTTTTCCTAAACCTAACCACAGTAACTTAGCCAAAAGCTCACCTGCGTAACTTAACGTTAAGTACCTAATGTACTTCACATTAGGTACTTAGGTACTAATGTACTTCACATTAGGTACCTCATTCTTGGGGCACAAATTTTTACGATATCATACAAACTGTTGTTTGAGGATACGTTGTCCAGCACAATACCCCCATAAATCTACAACTTGTCATTTCTGCACTTTAGTTTAGTCGTGGATTAAACAACCAAGATAAAGTGTGTTAATTAGGTAACTTTAGAGATATCAGACAATGTATCTTGGGACAAAGCCAGGCTAGCTGTTTTCCTGTGCCTCCAGTTTTAATGTTTAAATAAGCTAACCATCTGCTGGCAGGAATTTTCCAAAAATTTCAAACAATTCCTTTAACATTCGACAGTCAGTATAAGCTCATATTAGTCCCAGGTACATACCTAATACTCAACAGCACTATAGTCTGTCGGGCTAGCTGTAAGACTAGAAACACAGCAGTTTCGGAAGTCAGTATTTCAACTTTTAATCAAGTATGCATACGGTTTGTAACTGCTTGTAGCATGAAAGAAATGTACCATGTTCCACGTTTACTAATCTACATGTTGCCTCACTTATATGCCAGCCTTGCTAGGAAATAAGACAGCTAATGGCAAAAGAAATTTAAAAAGATGTAATGTTACTGAAAGTTCAGATGGGATGTTTTCAACCTCTTACTTCATTAAAATTGGGAAGCAGATGTTACTTTTTACAGTGCGTATTCCTTTTGGACATGCTGTACAGTAGTTAGGACTGTGTAGTTCTCTCGGCCGAGGAAGTATGCGTTGTTGTGTGTGTATATCCTATGATGTATACATGTTTGTGTGTACGCACGCATGCCTGCACGCATGTAAATCTGGTTATGCGTCTATGTATGTTCCAGCAGAGTGTCCTGTTTTCATGGCAGCCCCCGCTTTGCCCACATGCCGGTAGGCCTACTTCTACCCACATACACATACACTCATAAAAATGGGCATATTGACACATCTGTAGCAGAGTAGTTATTTCAGCTTGTTCAGACAGTTAGTTCAGTACACAGTTAATTCAGCATGTTAAAAAAAGACATTATTGTTTAGTTAATTAATTTTTGTGCTGTTAACTGGGCATTTTAAAGGAAAATAGCAGTGTTGTATCTTACTCTCATTTCACGCTCATTCTATCACCAGCATGTGCAGTTTGATCTTGATCACATCCAATGTGAAAACCCCACAATTTTGGCATCCTGGTCTTGTCCTGAGTTGTTATCCATCATTTGGAAATAAGCAGCGTGTCTGTTAGCAGGGCATTATAAACCCTTTAATCAAGCAATGATTTACTGTAGATAACTGGCAGTGAATTCAGTTTGAGTTTGCACTAGAGTTAAAACAGCACATACACATTCAGACTAGTGGAATTGGCCCTAGCAGTGTCCTTGGACACATAGTAAAGGGTCTCTAAACTCCAAACTCATACCATCTGAGCCATGCAATGTGGAATTGCTTTTAGATAGGGACACAAGTATCCTTGAGTGGACAAAACAGTGGTATTTTCCTTTAACATCCCCACACTGGAACATCATTGTGAATGTACGTACATGCACACTATCTCTGTATTGCTTTCCTACTGTTTTAACTGGAAACTTCATTCAGTTGTACAAGAACAAAGTTCTGACATTGCAATGGTTCAAGCAAGTCAAACAGTTCAATGCCCCCCTTCATCTTGCAGTACATTCAGCATACGTATATTCATGTACAGTGTGACCTCGACAGGCGGTCTTAGACAGACTCTTCAGATGAATGTTTCTCACCCAAAATATGTTCTTTTGGGGGGATGGAGTCCAAGCCCGCTGCTCTCCCCTTCCACCCTCTCACCCAGTCAGATTCAGCTGATACAACACACAGCATCCACATGTGACAACATACATACAGTAGTCCCCCCACCACAAAAAAACAAAACAAAAAAAACAAAACAAAACAAAACATAACCACCCCCCTTGCCTGAAGCACTGTTAAAAGTTCAAAGTTCAACAAAAAAGTGTGCTGGCAGAGGGTGACAATGTTTAAAAACTGCAAACATTCTCCTCTCTATCTCTTTAAATTAAATCATAGTTTTCTTTTTAAATGGCCACAAATATGTTAATGGTGCTCTCTCCGAGGTTAAATAAAGAACTAACTCAATAAAAAAGGGCTTATAAGAATGCTGATGTCGCCAGCTATGTTCAGGTCACTGCTAGAAGAATATACGGACATGCTGATGAAGAATTCACCAGCCAAACAAGGACACACTCACTCTCGGCCCACACATCCTACATCCATATGTTACACAGCTTAGTATTTTGTGTTACAACTGGGTTTTTTTCTTTTGTTTTTTACATTAATTAAAAGTAAGACTAAATATTCAAACAATACTGCAGAGTGAAAAATAATAAAAATAATAATACTGAAACTGAATATTCCATGTAGTATTTTCTAACAAACCGTTATACCAAATCTGTGCGCCTCATTCTCATTTACAAGTACAGCACATACAGTACATATTGTATGAACAGGCAGTGAAATGCTCATTCCACACACATCTTCCTCTCTGTCAGCTTCAAAAGTCTAATTTAAACCCTCCTGCTTCTTTGTCATCAGCGAGCGCATCAAACAGGCTTCACCTTTCCTCACATCGTAATGTCCATAAGTAATCCTTTCATACAGCTGTGTCCTGAGCTGAACTGGGTTATTTGCACTGAACTGAGCCGAACCATAGTGTTCACAGTACACAGCACTGTCTCCAAGAAACAAGATTTATATACAACCAATTTTTGAGGGAAAGGTAATGCTGGGTGAAATATGATTTTCATTAGCATTATGAGGAAATGCTGCTAATTAACATACCTGGCAAGTCTCAGATATGTTGATACTGAATGGCTGATCAGCAAAATGTCCACTGAAAATGTATTACATTTGTTTTCCACCATAAAAGAGGTAAGTCTGCAGTACAGTTTCCACTTGTATTGACTACACAATTATTTTTTAATTTCCCTTTTATTTAACACTTCAGTGAAATCATGATCTTCCCTAAACCCTAACCAAAGTGCTTTTGTTGCCAAACATAAGACAGGCGTCTACATGCACTCTGTATGTCCACCATCCACCTCAACCACCTCCCTGCCAAACCATTGTGGTACATGATGTGGTATTTCTTTAACTCATTACTCAAAATTCTGAACATAATCCATGCAGCAATTATGTTGAATGCAATTTAGTGAACATAATTTCTAGGAGACAGGGTTGTCACACAACAATCAATGAATGAACCTGATTACTGGAATTACATTTACTTTCTGTGGCTAAATACATGTTGGTCTAAATGCTTTTGTTTCACCTCTTCTTAAAGACCAGTGTTGTGCAAGTTACTTGAAATATGTAATAATTGCTCATTACACATTATTTAACAGCAATAGTAGTTAGTAACATTACTATTACTTTTAAGAGAAGTCCCATCCTCAACTGAAGCAGAGCAGAGACAAAGCTGCTAGTTGCTAGCTGGCAGTAAACTACCGCCCAACACTGTGCAACCAACTGTGCGTGGTCTCTCCTTTTTTTTTTTGTCATGTTTTTATCTACTGTGGGGCCATTATTGCAACTGAAATCATAACTTAGATTTTTTGTGGGGTATCCTTTGAAATGAGACTAATTGTTGTAAATTTTATAAAGGAGAAGGTTTTAAGTGGAGCCAGTCTGGGGAAACAAGACTGTTGTTCAGCTATGTTCAAGGTTTGCCCTCCCATAACGCAAAAATATACAGTATTTATAGGTAAGAATATATTTGCAGATAAGCTAGTGTGCTGATATGTATATGCACATGAACATTGATGAAGACTGCCTTTTAATATATAATTTTTTGGACATTGGAATTACAGTTCCACAGCATTTGTGTTGAAAACCATGGCGTACAATTATAACTGTATATCTAATGAACATAATCATATATATTTTAAGTCTATTGTTGGTGTAGGTTTAAGTGTTGTTGAACCTATATTACAAAAGCGCATCGTTTCTGTCATACTGTATCTCTACATTATCTTGGCATGTTGATAGATTTTTTTTGTTTGTTTGTTTTATCCGTTCAGGTTTTGAGATTTCTGCCTCATCCCAAGTACAATGAAGGTGAATGGAATTTCATTTGTTGTGCTCACAGTATTGAAAGATAGCATTTAAAGAAATTCAACAGTAATATATCCTTGCTACTCTTGGTAATCTATTGAATGTGCCAACAGTTTTTAAGGGATGATTACTGTGGTAGAAAGTAGCTCTAATTACTATTTGCATGGCTTGTGAGAAAACATGTTTGTTTGACATTTGGGTCAACCGACCCTTTAAAGCCCATTTCCAAATGTAGTCTGACCTATCTGTGCAGTGTATTTTTTGCATTATGTGCTCAGAAACCAGTGCAACCACATCATAAAAAGCTTCAGTACTATTCACAATCCACAGCAGGCAATGGCTTGTAGAACCCTGAAGAGCCCTGATGTCCAATCCATTTTTAGATAAATATTTTGCTCTACTTTCCTTTCCCATCTCTCATTTGACCAATCACTCCATTTCCATCAGTCTTTATCACTTCCTCTTTGTCCCTCCCTGTCATCTTCTTCTTCTTCTCCTCCTACAAATTAAATAATTTCCTCAGGACAGTCTTATTGGCAACCATCTCTCACTTACACTCCCCCTATCATACAGTATGACTACAGCAACACCTAGTGGTAATTGTACATACTCTACCATCTATCAAAGTGCTTACAGTTATTTTTTTCAACATTTTTGTAATCCATTTCCTCCACCAGAAAGAGACAGGGACAAGGAGAGAGACAACGCCAAAACTGGCTGCGCATGAATTCACAGTCGATGTGTAATTTAGCATTCCTGATGATTGCCTGAATGTGACAAAGGAGAACCTACAATCCTCCATCGATCCTCTTCTTGGAAACAAGAAAATAAAACACATTTATTGCTCCATTTCTGATTTAACATTTTCTCTCTGGTTCTAGAAAATATATATGAATATATCTATACGCCTGGATTACTTCTCGTAACTTCTCGTACAGTTGTAACAAGGTAAATGACTTCACGATATAAACAAGAAAATACACGTACAACACACAGGAGAAAAGCCCTGCCCTCGTTGGGTGACCAGCTGTCCTGCAGCAGAGCTCGACCCACCCCCCTCGCGCACGCACACAGTCAATCACATGTGCACACTCGCTCGCATTTCACATTTGCCCACATGCATACACATGAACACACGCACACACTGCACACAGAGAGAGAGAGGGGAAGGGGGCACTAGCACGGTTCAATGCCAACAGTATTTTTTAAAGACTCTTTTACATTAGGATGAACCAGAGGAGCCCTCTGGCTTGTTAGCTCCCCGTGCTAATACCAAAGCTTCAGTTCAGTGGGCTAATAAGTACAGTATGTTGCTGCTGAGACAGCCTGGGTTCAAATCCAGCTGGTCACATGGCACTCTGACCCCCCTCTCTCTCGCCCCCACAGGGCCTTCCTTCAGTCATCAGTCTTTCATCTGGGATTAGACAGTTGGGTTAGTTGGAGAAGAGGATGGGGAAGGGTGTGAGTTGATGAAGAGAACCCAGTCTTTCTCTCTTTCTTTGCCTTTTTTTTTTAATCTTATCTGTTTTTTCCTGCGAGTCTTTTCATCCCTGGGTGAAGGTGTAGAGAAGACAAACATGCGTCCAACACACACTAGTTATAGTGGCCTGCTAGGAGCCTGTCAATATTCAGTATTTCACTTTTAATTGTCAGCATGAGTTAACATTATTAATGTTATTATTATCATTATATTATATATCATTTACTCTAATGGTGTCTTTAAACTTATTTTTTGTGTATGTTCTTGTTTTCATTCATCTTCTGTTATATTATAGCTTTCCCTACATAGTTAAGTGTTTGTGTATGTACTAGGCGGTTGGGTTGCACCACACCAACACCTGACTCCCTATTGGCTGACAAGTATCATCCTCTTCCTGCTTCTCCTCCAATCACAAGATGCGTGGTGCTGAGCGATCATTGGAGACGGTCTTGCGAAGGCGGACTCCTCTCCTGATGGTGGTCAACATGTCACCGGTCCCCTCTGCCCCCTCTGTCCCTGTGTCAGTGGGGCCAGTTGGAGGCAGGGTTGGGTCATCAGGGAGAGCAGGGAAAGGAAATTGCCCCTCTCCAAGTGCATGCGCACTGGCTACCAACTCGCCAATCTTCTCCACTAAGCTGTGCCGATTGGCCGCGATCATTTGATCCTCCTCTGATCCAGCCCCTGAGCCTGTTACCATGGCAAGGCCTCCATGCTGCTGAGCGTAGACCTCTAACGCCGCCCCTGATCCCCAGGCAGTATTAGGCAGGCTGAGGCGCTTCGGTGACGCCTTCACATAATCAAGCGCTCCCTGTGCATCCTCGACTCCAGTGAAAAACACACACTCCTCACTGCCCACACGCACAGGCACGCCACCTGAGTGCCCACCACCTGCGTACCCACCACCAGCTGCGCCAGGTGAGTGTGAGTCTCCGGGAACAGTGGGTGTCTTTACAGGCACAATAGGTGGTCGGATGGGGATAGGCCCCGCGTTGGACAGTGTGCGCCTCACGCCTGGTTTGGTAGATGGGGTTCGGCGTATTGTGGCAGTGCCTGGAGTACCTGCTCCACCTCCACCAGTTCCACCAGGTTGTCCTGGTATCCCATGACCCCCTGGACCAAGAACCCCGCTGGGCAAGCCCGCCGTGCTGGCTGGCCTCTTGGTCTGGATCATGCGCCGGTAGTTCTGGGCGATGTTAGAGTGGCGAGGAATAGTGGAGGACTTGTCAAACTCTCCCTGTCCATCTGGACCTTCAGCATCACCGTTTACTGAGTAGCAGTCATAATCTGAACCTAATGTGGGAGGGAGAGGAAGAAAAGGAGATCAAGTCATTCAGGAGACAATTACCATCACAAAATTACTGGATTAAGACAGGGAAAACAACATCAATTGGGGAGAGTATTTGGATAAAGGAAGCCTGAAACTGACAGCCAGTAATATGATTCAGGAACACATTTGATATTATTCAGTTTCATCTTTATATTGTCATCTCCCAGCTGCTGTCAAGGAAACTGTCAGAGCAGTCATATACTGTGCCAGCGGTTGGATGATTGAATGGATGATTCACCTTGTTTGATTTTGGTAACTAAAGACAGAGGTTCTAAGGAAAGTCACTTTCATCATAAAAAAACTGTGCACAGCTTGTAAATATTGATATTTCACATTTTAAAAAATCATAATACCATTCCTTGACAGACTCACTTTCTTGAAATTTTACAAAATAAAAGATGATGAATGGGCTCAGAGAAATGCGATGATTGTGGGTGCCTTAGGATGAACAAAATTAGAAGTTGCAGTAGTTCGAGAGGTAGAGTATTTGCCATGATGACTACTTCCGTTGTTTTCTCTTTCCTGTTACCTTTCAAATGTATGACTGAGAGCAGTCATGACAGCAACAAACAGAACTGGTTAAAAACAATGTTTTATTATTAGCTAGCTCATAAATGTTACGTTGTATTTAAAATAAGCTTAGGTTCAACTTATGCTGTTGCTGGTTGCAACAACAGTTCAAGAAAACTGAACCTTGCACACCTTGCACAATGGCAAAAATGAAAGCTATGAAACTAGCCTTGCTTGAGACTTTAAGACTAACATATCATCCCAAGAGAGTGTGTGTTTCCATTTTCCAATTACTGGATAAGAAGCCCACAGAACTGTACCCTCACCAGGAGCTCTACCTGGGTCACAGTCGAACTTGGAAGAAGAGGGGAAAGCTAGACCATGCTACAATGACCCAACTGGCTAATTCCAGAAGCAACGTTAACTTTAATCAAGACACTAAAGATGGACCTCTTAGGTTAAACTCTAAAACAATTATTCCCTGTTTATGCAGCTGATCATGTGTTTGCATTGCTTTTCAGGCAAGTAGCATATACGTTTAGTGATTAGCTATTGGGCATACTGAAAATGTTTAAGATGCTAGACCACGCTAGCTGACCATGTAAGACCATGCTGGCATCTAAAATTCACATCCCCCTGACCCACAGTGCCGCACAGTTCACACACAGTGGGAAGACTCAGCAAGACATGATAATTATTGCAAGAGGGGTGAGTAGAGATGTGCATGACAATATGAATCAGTTTGATGAGATTGGGTACTTTATCCCAAATGACTCAGATGCTTTGCTCCATGGCGGCTGTAGCTCAGGAGGTACAGCGGGTTGTCTACTTATCGAAAGATCAGCAGTTTGCCTCCTGGTTCTTCCAGTCCACATGTTGAAGTATCCTTGGGCAAGATACTGAACCCCAAATTGCTCCTGATAGCTGTTCCACTGGTGTGTGGGTGTATGTGAATATTTAATTGATGAGCAGGTGGCACCTTGTATGGTAGGCTCAGCCACCAGTGTATGAATGTGTGTTAAGGATTCAATGTAGCATGTAGTCTTTAGAAGACTAAAAAGGTCAAATACAAATGCAAGTCCATTTGCCAGTTACCACCTACACTGGTATAACCCTAGAAGTATTCATCATCCTCGTGTCAATGCTGGAGAGATATGCTATGCTATATCTGTGCTAGATCAAGTTCTCATGACATTTTTGAAATACATGTCAAGACCAATCATCTGATATGTGATCTGACCACACCGTTTTGTATATCAAAGACAGTATTACACAAAAGAGCGGAAGTTTTGCAACCTCTAAAACTTCTAAAAGAAACTATTCAGGCCACTATGCCCAAAGCATTCAAAAAGAACTTTTCTGATCCATGCATAGACTCTGTTAAGAGCCTTTCATTAACAAAAAAAAAAAAAAAAAATGGTGATTCATACAGCTATTATTATTCACATAACACTGTGAAATTCCTGGCTGCTACTGCCTAATCATGTTCATCTCTGCAGCATATGGAGGGTGGTGCAGTGACAAATTCAATACCATGGACGCAGGAATATTAGAGGAGATGGAGATGAAGTCATGGCAGATCAAGGCTTTACCATAAAAGATTTGCTGTTTGAGAGAAAGAATAAAAAAAAAACGAGTCAATGACCCCATTAGGACTCACAGAGAGCCATGGTTCCCGGACGCTTACAACAGTGCCCTTGTGAATAATGTTCATGCCCTGTTCTTTCAGTTGTTGGCAAGCTTTTAACTTTATTTTCTTTAGCATAGTTAGTCATAGTTGCCTCGATAAGAGAGGGTATGTGCTCACATAGAAATTTGTCACTTCTTGTGACTGCGTGGATGGGAACATTTCTTGCAGAGCTTGCTGTAAGTGAGATTTTCCTACAGTTGTGCCACAAATCAGATGCACTTTGCCCTCTTGTCTCCAAATCTACTTGGGTTGCTTGTGCATCACAAAATTCAACATACGCCTGGTAGAATGTCTTGCATGAGTCTCAGCTGACAGCTAACTGTGAGACTGGTGGGGTTGGAAAGTCAACTGCACTGTTTCTCCTGCTAGGTCACTCTATCAGTGGTGAGGCATAATACTTCTCTAGAGGGGAGTTCTTGAGGACAAAGAGTAGTTGAATGGGTTTTTTTCCACACTGTGTCTGAAGTCTTTGTGTGACAGATAATGTGGTGTGTTTGGGAGTAATTGAGTCAATTAAGTTAATCTTAGTTGGCCAGCAAGTTCTTTGGTGTCCCTGCATCCCACCTACGCTGCTACATGCAAGCCCTGTCTTTCCACTGACAGTGATTACATTAATAGTATCTTCATTATTTCTCCACTTACTACTGACATTACGATTCAGTATGAATATAAGAATATATTTTTTCAGCAATAAAAGCACAATTACTGCAGTTAGTGCATTTGTAAAACAGGAGACATTTGGGTTTAAGAATACCTTGCACAGAATAGCTGCTGCGTGACTACATGACATCCCTTACCCATCAATGCACGAGCAGCAGCCTGTCTCCATGACTCTACACTCCCTCAGCATCACCCACGCTGTATGTTAGCTTGATTGACACTCTGAGAAGACTCTACTGCTGCCTTCAGAAATCGAATGTTTCTTAAACAGTACTTGACTTATTTTGTTAATATGCAGGCAAGTACAGTACAGGCCAAAAGTTTGGACACACCTTCTCATTCAATGCGTTTTCTTTATTTTCATGACTATTTACATTGTAGATTCTCACTGAAGGCATCAAAACTATGAATGAACACATGTAGAGTTATGTACTTAACAAAAAAAGGTGAAATAACTGAAAACATGTTTTATATTCTAGTTTCTTCAAAATAGCCACCCTTTGCTCTGATTACTGCTTTGCACACTCTTGGCATTCTCTCCATGAGCTTCAAGAGGTAGTCACCTGAAATGTTTTCCACTTCACAGGTGTGCCTTATCAGGGTTAAATAGCTGCTAGGAAACCACTGCTAAGGAGAGGCAACAAGCAGAAGAGATTTGTTTGGGCCAAGAAACACAAGGAATGGACATTAGACCAGTGGAAATCTGTGCTTTGGTCTGATGAGTCCAAATTTGAGATCTTTGGTTCCAACCGCCTTGTCTTTGTGAGACGCAGAAAAGGTGAACGGATGGATTCCACATGCCTGGTTCCCACTGTGAAGCATGGAGGAGGAGGTGTGATGGTGTGGGGGTGTTTTGCTGGTGACACTGTTGGGGATTTATTCAAAATTGAAGGCACACTGAACCAGCATGGCTACCACAGCATCCTGCAGCGACATGCCATCCCATCCGGTTTGCGTTTAGTTGGACGATCATTTATTTTTCAACAGGACAATGACCCCAAACACACCTCCAGGCTGTGTAAGGGCTATTTGACCAAGAAGGAGAGTGATGGAGTGCTGCGGCAGATGACCTGGCCTCCACAGTCACCGGACCTGAACCCAATCCAGATGGTTTGGGGTGAGCTGGACCGCAGAGTGAAGGCAAAGGGGCCAACAAGTGCTAAACACCTCTGGGAACTCCTTCAAGACTGTTGGAAAACCATTTCAGGTGACTACCTCTTGAAGCTCATGGAGAGAATGCCAAGAGTGTGCAAAGCAGTAATCAGAGCAAAGGGTGGCTATTTTGAAGAAACTAGAATATAAAACATGTTTTCAGTTATTTCACCTTTTTTTGTTAAGTACATAACTCCACATGTGTTCATTCATAGTTTTGATGCCTTCAGTGAGAATCTACAATGTAAATAGTCATGAAAATAAAGAAAACGCATTGAATGAGAAGGTGTGTCCAAACTTTTGGCCTGTACTGTATATGCCTCTGTGCTTCAGTGGATAAAGGTAGACAACAGATTAGAGTTTCACCTTGTGAGGGGATTGTGTCCTCGGAGCAGGATGGAGTTGTGGTCTCTGTGCTGTAGCCACTGGAGTACTGCAGGGAGTCTCTGCTGCTTTTCTGCTGCTCCATACTCAGTCCTCTGGTCAGCACCATGGCCAGGTCACTGGCTGCTGGAGACACCTCCTCTCCATGCTGACGACACATTTTGAGAGGCAACATTTGAGTGATGTCAAATCAGGCATTTGTTTAAAAATGGAATTCAAACTCAGGAGAATTATTTCTGTCCTTTTGTTAATCAACTATGGGATAATACTGGGATAATATATGTATGATTATATTTAGTTTTATTTATTGCAATAATGTAGGTCAATGTTTGTCAGTTGGACCAGGAGTAGCATATAGCTCTAATTAGCTATCAGAATCAGAATACATGGTTTTTCTTATTTCGCACAATGAATGAATATTACATACATTGAAAAGCATTGTATTTCATGTCTCCATCTGCTGGTGGGCTATCACAATAAGAGTATGCATGCATAATATGCTGTTAATTCCACTACAGAAGAGACTTGGTGATCACTACAATTAGGTAGGGACAAAAGTGGATATATCGATATAGCTTATCAGCCAAGTTATACATTATATAATAAAATAAGTTATATATAATAATATATCGGCATATCTGATATTGGCAAAAAATCCAATATCATGCATCCCTTGTTTTCAACTAACCTTTGTCTGTTTACAAGTACTTTTAATGTTGACAGAAATTACTGTACAGGCTGTATGTCTACATAGTGTTAGAATAGTCAATTAGTGTGTAATACTTCATACTCATTAAGCACACTCTTAGTGGTCTAACATGTGCTTGCATGTCTGTATTGGGTTCATCTTCACATGTGGAATTACACTCATTGGCTTGGGTTATTGTGGCTCACACTCTGAGTAAGGCAAGAGTACTGAAACATCTTGGTATATTTTTTTATGTATATTTATTAACCCATGAGGGCATATGATTTAAAAGAAAACTTTTTATCAAAGTATATCTATATCTTCTTTTTCCCCTCAATTAAGAGCACCAGTTAGTAAAGGGGACACCAGAAGGACTATGTGTATTTATTTTTTATATAACCTTAGTATGTACAGAAGATCAGGCTGGGCAAGTCTTCAGCTTATCAAAGTTATTCTACAGTAATTGGAAAATATGCTGTCTGTTGCAGCTGACTGACCACAATGACCTGCATGGCTTATTACAGACCATACTCTCTCTACACACACAACTTTGCAAATACTCCTCCACACACACCTAGCCTGACCTATTTTCTTGGTTTGTAATTCCTCTTTATTTCCAGCTTGCTTGTCAGCATCATCCAGCATTACCTTGGCAGCGATGGTAGCTGGGGTCATCCTGGGTCTCTGCGAGTCATCAGGGTGTGATGGCCCGGCGTATCCCTGGGAGCCTGGCGACATCTCGTTCTCCCTCAGTCTATCGAGAGGTTCCTTTCTCCTCTGAACTGCCGCTGCAGCTACCGGCTGCTCATACTGACCTGCTTTGGACCAATCCTGAAGAGGTGAGTCAAATTAATAAACAGGAAGTACCAGGTAGGATTAGCACGAGAGACTTGTCCACTATCCAGCAGTTTGAAGCCCTTCATCTGAGTGCAGAGAGAGGGGGCCTTTACGGGTGGTATGTGTTTGAGTGCTTGGAAGAGTGCATGTGCGTGGGTGTGTGTGGGCAAGGGCCTTTTTGAGCGTTTAAATGTGTTTATGTTGATGAGTTTGATAGGTCCGCTCTCCACACCCTGCTTAGTTTTGGCCAGTCTCCAGTTGGTAGATTGCCAAACCAGTGAGTGAGACAGGGGAGACCAAAATCATACACATGCACACACAGCATATGGGGATGAACACTTTAAGAAAGCAAAGCAATGTGGTTATGAATGAGTTAATCGGGTGATGGAAATTAAAAGATAATAAACCCCATGCGTTAACTGAAAGGTCTTAAATGGAAACTGAAGAAACGGTGCAACTGAAGAAATGGAAGCGAATGGAGAACAAACCTTCCACATAGGAACCTTTGATGTGGGAGAGGAGGAGCTGGATCCAGGGGGGCAGTTATAGGGTGGGGACGCAGGAACAGGAAGAATGACAGAGAGAGGCCTGGTGGAGCCAGAGTGAGAGAGAGCAGGGCGGAAGGTAGCGAAGGACGTGCCAAACTGCGGGATGAGAGACATAGTCACGTCATCAGAGAAAGACTAAGAGAGAGACTAAGAGAGAAACACAGAGACAGAGGCAGCCAGCTGTGGTCGAGGATCACTGGGCCAAACACATGAGAATAAAACACAGCACATGTATACACACAACTACTGTACAATAGACACTCACACAACATCAGTGTGACACAGTAGAGCAGGAACAGATTAGCATTAGATTTTACAATAGAAAGGCCTTGAGAACACAATTAGTTGCTGCTGTCTATGCATCACAATGACTAGAAGAACTAAGTGAGTGAAGCCTTGAGAGCCTGCATGTCACAGCTACTCTCTATGTCTATGTTAGAGAGGTCATAAGATGTGTTAAAGCAGCATGCATTTATTAATCAGATGAATTTGATTTGATAGTTACTACTTCAATGCAATAATTCTGCACAGAATAAGTAGCACAGAATATAACAGAATGTAACTTTTTCTGATAACCTTGGTTCTAATGAGCTGGTATAAGACTGTATCATAGCAATGCTTAGTACTCGTGTAGCCAAGTTTCAAACTGTCTCATCTAAAGTGTAGAAGACAGTCTTGGATGATCCCAATATTAAAGCTAAGGGAAGTGACTGTGTGCTGTTCTTTATCAGAAGTGGGGAATTTAAAGGGACAGTTCATCCCGAAATCAAAAATACATATTTTTTCTCTTACCTGTAGCGCTATTTATCAATCTAGATTGGTTTGGCTTGAGTTATACTGGCCGTAAAAATGTCTGCCTTTTCTCTGATACAATGGAACTAGATGGCATTTGGCTTGCGCTGCTCAAAATGCCCCCAGAAAATAAAGAAAAAAATCTCAACAGCAATGTCTCTTTCCAGAAATCATGACCTGGTTATTCAATATAAGCCACAGGCCTTGTTGTGAGCAGTTTCATGCAGGAACTATTTCCTTTCTACCGAACCACACCTGCAAAGTGTATCATCCTTTTTTTGGAAGCATTCATCTACTGCTAGCTCACCTCACACGAGCCTGTCATCCATGATATATTGCATGCTTCCTTCTGTGCGGCAATACTTTTAATGGGTGTAGGTCGGTAAAAAAAGAAAATAGTTCTTACAAAAAAACAGCTTATACAAGAGAAGGCAGACATCTTTATGGCTGTTTTCTCTAACGCTCACCAACTCACACCAAAATAATCTAGACTCATAAACAGCACTACAGGTAAGAGGAAAATATGTGTTTTTCAATTTGGGGTTAACTGTCCCTTTAACGAGACATGCAATTGCAAAACCAAGAGGTTCACCCTCATCCTTCATTTACTTTCTCTTGTAAAATCTCCATACTATTGAAAACTCTTCAATAAATTTCCCCCTCCTGTACTAGTACGTTTTGACTGCTGTGTCTTCTTCACCTCATTCTGCAGTGCAAAGCTGTAACAGGCTCATTACTGCCCCCTGAGATCAGAGTACGGACCTACGGTAATTACAGTTGATGAGAGCTGCTGTCCAATTGAGTGTTTTTCTCCATCAGCAAGAAGGGGCAGCAAAAAGCCATAACCAAGTTGAAACGTATGCCATATCATCAAAGAGGCACTGATGATGTGAAGCACACAGGACTGTCCCAAAAAGGCTAGTAGTGGTGGTGCTGGGAATCAGACCAGCAACCCTTTTGATACTATTTTTGTAAATCAAGGTGCAAGGAGCAAACAGGAGTTTTGTAATAGAACTTAAAAAGTTTGATATGTGGAAGAAGACAGAAGTTTGCAAGACTGTTTTGCAACAGTTGTGCAAGATGTGGTGCACATGATCCATCTTGACAGTGCGTGTTACTCAAATTGGAGATGCATCACAAACTTACTGCCATCAGATGGTTGCAAAGGGTGTTAATCAACTGAAAAGGAAGGCAATCATATGTGCAAGCTGTTGTGGATGACATGACAAATGCTGCTTAAAATCCAACATGAGTATTTACTTAGCCTCACAAGCATCATTGGAGTGGTATTTATGTTACAAACAGATGTGCATACTGGTCAAAGAATGTATAATGAAAGGGAATGAGACACGCTCTCAAGCATAAATAAAATAAATCTGTGATTTTGGAGAGGTTTATGTGAGTGAGCCAGCATCAACTTACATGGTGAAAACAGCACAGAGTACAAGCATTTCATGCATACTTTGCTGATGACCTGATCTGAGTTGGTAAGCGGGAGATGATGTGAAAAGCTGAAAATCTTAAAACCAAAACAGTAATTGTCCCTGAAGTGTCAGTGACATTCTGCACCTCTCCTAACACTGCAGCGAGCCACCAAAATACACTGAAATACAGAATATAAGTAAGGAAACTATTCCCTTTGTGCTTAGGAAAATACCACTTACCCATCTGCAAAAATTCACCCTTTGAGTCTAATTCCTGCTGTAAAAGTTTGTTTATCTAAAACACATGGAATTACATTTATTCAACAAAAATCTCATCTGAGGTGCATTTTACTCATTGTTCTCTCGTAGCTCGATGGTGTTTGTTTTGATGTTGGTTAATATTGTACCACCAAAAAGCATTCTCTGTTGGAGAGCCCATTTAGCCCCAACAGAGCTGACTGTCTGTTCTGCTGCAGGTTTGCCTGCATATCCAGATGTCAAAGTCTTCCACTGTTTTCAAAAATCCATTAAACTCTCAAATAAACCTCCTGCTCCCTTGTTGAATGTAACTCATCGTTTCAAACAGCATGTGTCTCATTATTCTGTTCTGTAATGACTTTATACCACCACAATCATCACAGTTGTCATAACAATAGTTCCATTTGACCAGAAATGATAGTTTGAATTTGTTCGTCACTGCCACCAGAAAACAGTATTGGGGAAAAAAATTCAGAGAAAAATTTTGATAAGTTGTTAAATAAAGTTGTTTTAATGGAGTTCTGAAACCACCAAGAGACCAATTTGGTTAGATGAGCTAACTCAGTGCAGAACAGATGGCAGTTTCCTCTGACTGTGGCAATTGCATCAGAGGGTTTAGAATTTCTATGGACAGTGATGGAGAAGCGGACTAAAAACTAAACTGGCATCAAACTTTAGGTCATAAAGTGCAGCTGAGTGTCTTAATACAACAAATTAATTTACCTTTGTTGCAAAAATAGAATTCATGTGTTGAGTTTGGACACCAGTTGGCAAAATCAAAACTTAAAACTCAATCAGGAGTTTCGGAGGCACTCCATTTAGAAATAGCATCTGGACTCACCAGTGTTTTATTTCCAAACTCTAAAGTCAGTGTCAAAGACTTGCCAGGCTAGTACACATGGGCATGATGTGTTCAAGTTTAATGATGTCCCTTTTGGAGGATTTCTGGGTATTGAAGTCTTAAATTTCAGTTTTGTCCATCTGTGGCAAAATTAAATTCCCTTATGTATTTTTATTGAATTAAAACAAACAGCAACCAGACTGCTTTAATATACAAATCTCCTATTTAAAATGAAGAAAGAAATGATAAAAATAACTCAGGAATTTTGTTTATTTATTAGTCTCTGTTATTAAAGATAAAACATTTTAAGCTCTGATTACATAAATCAAATGACAGTAAAATGTAGCTGTTCTTTTTTATGTGTGCCACATTTGAATTGCTTTTAACTTTTGATTTGGTTTGAGTGTTAGGTTGCCAGGGACTGCATATTGAACAGCGTGAGTATGAGTACTTACAGTGGTTGGGGAGCTGCATTCACTGACTGACTGACATGTTTCTGAGGCCTCTGACGATGCCGAGCTGGATGACTTCTATAGAAAAAAGATAAAAAACAGTCCATGTCCACTTATTCGCCAACACTCATTAAAAGTCCATATGTTTGTATGTGTGTGAAGCCTTAAAATTCACCCTTGTCCCCAAAACAAGCTTAAAATGCCCATGAGGTGAGATCATGCTGGTTGATTTCCAAAGTAAATCAATTTGGAAAATTGAATGTTGATTTTTTTTTTATGCCAATTGAGAGGCATGGCTGGACACCAACATTTATAAAGTTTATTACCACACTAACTCTAAATTTGTCTACATAAATATGTGTGTATGTCACTGTACCTGGCTAGTAATGTCCGAAGGCATGGGCGAGGGGGGTTTGGAGTAAATGTTTGCATCCTGGGATACGAAGCCCGAATCGTGGGAGGAGACGCTGCTGAGTCGGTGGGCAGCAATACCCCCCGGTGGTGGGGGTTGATGTGGCAGGCTGCTGCGGTAGCGATAGGAGGAGGAGGAGGAGGATGAGGTGGGTGAATGGGGCTGGGAGCCTCCACCACCTCCACCAACACCACCACTACCACCTCCCCCTGACGAACGGGAGGCACTACTGTGGGCTCTGTTGACGCTGCTGTAGAGTAGGAAGGGGTTGGAGGGAAAGGTGCAGAAGAGCAGGGGGAGGGTGGAGTGATGCAAGGGTGAGGAGTGTGAGGGGATGATGAAAGTGATGGTTGCCATTGTGGAGTAACAACAGTATTTCGGGGGAGAGAGCATGATTACAGGGATGTATCAAGGTGTTGGTTAGATTAAGGAAGATGAAGTTGAATTTGTAAGATAGGAGGTGTTATTGGTGAACATGATGAATTGATGAGGATGGAGGATGGATTGGAGGATTTTGTGATTGGTTTGAGTGGTGAGTGAAGTTCAGGAGTAGTTCACAGCAAGTTGCAGGTAAGTGATAACCCGCAAAAGGATGACACATTAAAGTCACACACCAATCACAGTTAAAAGCAGAGTCCCCAGAGAAGAAAGGAAACCAGGTAATCAAGAGAAAGAGGGCAGATTACGTGAGTGCACACAAACAGACACACAAAATAGAACAGACAAGTGAAGAAAGAGACAAGTACGGAGAATGATGGTTGTAGTGAGGGAAAAGGGGCGAGAGAAAAGGGCAGGAAGGGGAGGAGGGGGCAGACAGAGAGTGTGTAAGCTTATGAGGTTCCAGGGCACACACACACAAACACATACTTAACACTGCAGGCAAAAGGCTGTGAACTCGCATGCTTTAGAGCTTTGCCTTGAGGGCAACTGCTACTACATGCATACACTGACAGAGACTGGTTCACACACACATACACCGAGTGATGTTTTCAGACAAAGAACTACACATATCCATTTTTAGTTTCTAGTATTCTTGTTTTCATTTTGTTATTCAAATATTCTGAATTCAAGTGTATAAATTTGCATAAAAAGAATGCAGAAATTGTTCATATGCTTTTGATGAGCTACTATTTCTGTCAAAATTCAATATATTTTGTCAGCTTTCTTTCAGCTGATAATAAAGAAAATCCATATTTCTACAAAATGTTTCTCTGTCTGAAGGTCAGAGATCCCACTAAACTGACTGGAATGACTGGACAAACAGTAATGGTGGACTGACACACAGACAGAGGGACTGACAGTCACAGTGAAACATTAACATCAGGGAAGGCTCCTCTTTCTTAAATCACTGTAGAGAACACTGCCAAGTGAGCAGAAGGTGTTGGTTATGTCTGTGTGTACATGTGTGTATTTGTGTATGAGTACCTGCACATGCTGCTCTTACGGGAGCCAGAGCTGCTCGGGGATGAAGGAGGTGTCTGATAGGACCAGGTGTAATCTGAACCCTTCAGATCTTTGATCACCTGAGAGAGACACAAAGAGAGTTTATTATTAATTACTGTCTTATTTTCTGTTCTGCATGTTTGTGTGTGTGTGTGTGTGTGTTTCACCTGTTCACTAGCTGGGGGCAGTTTGTGAGGATCGGTTGTAAGCACAGTGAGGTCATCAATAATGGCCTGGAGGTGGGTGATCTCACCCAGCATTGCGATCTCTCCATTCTGAAAAAACATGTCAGATTCGCACAGCAGCATGTCAAGTGTAGCACATGTTAGACATGGCAAAAAAAGTGATTATAGAGTGCTATAATTAGAGGTGTATTACTTTACCAGATTTCTCACCACCTCTTTTAGTATTGTTTTAATAATACTGAAACTGACACTTGTGGAGCGCTAGTTAATGTTACACATCAACAATATGTTTTTTTGTTTTTTTTTGCTTTACTCTGACAGGTACAACAGAGGTGGATGACATGCTGTCAACATAACTTCGGTTTTCATGATATTTCATGATATACATTAATATCAAAGAAGTATTCTCCATAACATTAATTGCAGCCACACTGCTTAGCTCTTTATTTGGCTTTCTGTGTCATACCTCGTGATGACAACATTTTGATAAATCACATGATATAACTGTTGGGCTTCTACTTTATACTTTTCTTTGCTGTTTGATAAAGTGCAAGGCAAACATGGTGTGAGGCTATTTATCTTTGAGTCAGTCCTAATTGTAGTATTTCATGAAACCTCAATTCAATATTGTAATTATACTGTTTCCTGTGGTATTTCTAGCCACAATAATCATAGCCTGATAATTTTACACTGCCACATCTCTTGTTAATATGGGAGACTAGCACACACCTTTGTCAGATAAATTGTAGTGTGTTGCCTCCCAGTGGAAATCAGGTGCAGTGAAAGTGTCACTTGTTGTATTTTGGGATCATACAACAAACGTAAGCCACTTTGAGCAAGGCACTAAACCTAAATCTCTATCAGAGAAACTGCTCTGCAGCAGGACCTATGTCACGCTGTGCGGCAGGTCAGAAAGTGCTTGCCCCTTCGTCTACCCATCTCCTCCCTTCCAGCCACTCTACCACGACCACCACCCCTTCTCCTCCATCTCCTCACCACAACAGGCTGAAGGAAGCCGATGAAAGTGCAGAAGCGACCCCTCTCCTCCACAAGGGCCCGGCGCACTGCCTGCTTCTCTGTCTCCTCCATCAACAGGCACATGTCAGTCACATCTTGCATGGCACTGTCCAGCTGAGGCTGCAGGTCCACTCGTCCTGGGGTGGGGTTGGTGTGGTGGTGGAGAGAAAACAAATGTGAGATAGAATAAATGAGACAGGGAGCACGTCAAGGAGAAGATGATGATAGTATGAAGGAGAGGAGAGAGGTTTTCACCAGCAGAGGTGGATAAAAAGGAGGTGGGAAAGAAAGGTGGAGGTGCAGATAGAAGTGAAAGAGAAAAGTGTGTTGGTATTTATAGCAGTAGAAACAAAAAACATTAACACAATGTGGACTTGATGTGATATTTCTCCATCAGCCTCTGCTTCAGATAATGCACTGCTCCACCATCAAGCCACTAGCATATATTATGAAACTCAGGCTAAGACAGACAAAGTAGCAGAAACACCTTGTCTGATGTTTTGGCTCAGTACTTTTTTAATGTTGATGTGGAATCCAAAATGCAGGCACATCATGTTGTGTCATCATATTTTATGTCATTTTATTAAGCCAACAGCAGCCACACTAGTGACATAATGTCCTGCATACTATGTATGGAGGGACATGGAAAGCATATCAGAAGAGTACTAAGCAGTACCATGTACCCTATACAACTATACCCTAAACGCTCAATGACCTATATATTGTTAAGCTGAGTTATCAAGACAAACTAATAATACTGGCTATTTCTATCCCTTGTCCTCAGAAACTGAAAAGATTTGATTATGTTTAATAAATTTGGTGGCAATTCAGATGAAATGTAGGGACTTGCTGTTGCTTAGGCTTTAAACTTGCAATAACAAATTTTGGCCATGTGGGAGCAGCAGAAACAAGCTGTAAACATTGACATTTATTTGCTTAAGTTTAATTTGTTGGTAAACACTTTTTTATTTTTACACATTCAGCAGGGGGTTACTGCGGTGGATGGTGGGCAGCAACATGTAAAAAACAGTCCCACCAAAATAAATCTATCTACGTATCTAACACTTAAAGTGTATGTTACATCTAGTGTATTTTCATTGCTTTATTTTGCAGCAGACAGCTCATTCCTGCAGTGAAGCAATTAACAGCCTCAGTTCCCCATCTATGCTCTCGTCAAAGCCACCAGACTCCACTGAAAAAACAGTAACACAGTAGCAGCTGGCCTACCACTGCCTCTATCAGTTAGTTTTTGTTATAATGTGACTTTGGTGAATTAGAACGATCACCAAAGACACAATAACACAAACAAAATAACGAATTAAGGCAGTGGTAGCCCAGCAGCTTCTGTGCTCAGCAACATTAAATCACTGTTTTTCCTCACTGGAGTCTGGCCTTAAAGAGAGCAATATGATGGTTCCAGATCTGTCAGAAATTGCTGTCTGAAGGAAAGGTATATCAGTGAAAATACTCTAAATATGGCAAACACTTAAACTGATATTGATTTTTTTCAGGTTGGACTATTTTTAGGTGGCTACAATACATTTTGCCTCTGACCACTCCACAGCAGTATAATGCTTAGCTTTAGTGTCAGTACTCCAGCCTGCTTCTCCAGACTGGTGGTATGCCAACTGACATCTACTGTATACGGTATAATACACTGACTATGGATAAGTACCTCATACAACCCCACTTCAAAGATCCAAACTATCCTTTTGAAAACATTAAAATGCTCCTTAGAGCTGAGGGGAACTAGTCAGGTGAATTCTCTGTGGGCTTGTCTCTGTGAGCAACCTCTTTCACTTTACACACAGCCATTTGATGCTATGATGAATATCAAATATTCACCACAGCACCTTTAAATAATAAAGTCAGTCTTGTGGATATTTACCAGTCTTTACAGTAACGACATATCTCTTTTGTGCTAGCTTTATCACAATTGCCACTGATTGGAGAGACACCCTCTCTAGCTCAAGACTAAGACTAAGACTTGGCCTATATGCATGCATACAAAGTTGATCCCAAAGTGTGAGAGTGTGCAATTTTCCCTCTTTGTCACTTTGTCAGTCTACACCCAAAATAATGATAGTAAAGAGCCAAAACTCAAATAATGTTTTTCTGCCATAAAACTTCAGTACTTGCTGTATTTGCACAGCAATCAATTGATGACAAAAGGTAAGACATACAGTAGGTTCATAAGTAGAAAATCTTAACTCTATCTACTGTTAACAGAAAATAACATGAAATGCAATGAATTGAAAGCAAGGCATGAAATAACTCTTTGTAGTGTTACAACATGCAAAAAAAGTCAGTAATGGAGACAGAATGACAGACAGGACAAGAGAAGAGGAGTGGCATGAGAGCACAATGAGAGCCTGCGGTGTGACTACAAAGCTAGTGGTAACAGCTACAGAAGTCATGCAGGAGTCAAGGAACAAGAAGTTAAATTACATCATGCATTGTTGGAGGTGAAACGGCACGACTCCAACTCCTCAAACAACTACAAGCTATATGAGCTGAACTCTTCTCTGTCACCAGGAGACAAAACCTTTAAGTGAGGCTTCTTTAGGAACTGCTCTGATGCAACTAGTTTTCTAAAAAGAGTCACAATAGCTGGCTTTATATATATATATACATATATATGTATATATATATATATATATATATATATGTCCTGGGAAAAAAATAGATAAGATCAGATACATGATTTCTTGTCAGTCATAATGAGACCAAAAAAAGGAGGCATTTTGGCACATTAAATGAGGCTCGCAGGGCCCTAAAGCTTCAGGTTCAACATATGTATTAGTTTGTGGTAATAACATTTGTATTGTATGCACTACAAAAGCACATTTCAAGCCCTTTCAAACTTTAATAATGTTCAAACTATAATATTCCTTCTGAAAGTAGTATTAATTTGTTGGACTTAAAGGACCGGTGTGTAGGATTTAGGAGGATATATTGGCAGAAATGGAATATAATGTAATAAGTATGTTTTCTTTAGTGTAAAATGACCTGATAATAAAGAATTGTTGTGTTCTCTTTAACTTAAAATGAGCCATTTACATCTACGTAGGAAATGGGTTTCTTTATTTATAGAGATTGCCATGTTGTATTGCCATGTTTCTGCAGTAGCCCAGATAGGCCAAACCAAACACTGACTCTAGATAGGGTCATTTCCGTTTTTGCATCAGCCACAGTAGTATCAAGCCCAACTACAATAAGCAGTGCTGGAGTAACACTTTTTTGTAATGTGAAACTGCTTTATTCAGTGTTTCTACCCGTTTAAATCACCAGGGTCGTTTGTTTTGGAGAGGAAGAGACCTCTGTGGATAATTCAGCTTCTGGTAAACCTGAACGTTTGGATCTAATGTTCACCGCACCTTAGCACGCGTTGGACTAGCCGCCCACAGTGACATGCCAAAGTGTGTCTGACATACAGTGCATGGGTTTAATGTGAAACTGCTTTATTCGGTGTTTATACTAGTTTAAACCACTAGGTCTGTTTGTTTGGAGAGGAACAGACCTCTGTGGATAGTTCTGTTCAGAGTAAAACTTCCTAAATGTCTGGAAGAGAAAATGGGTGAGCACACAATAGCAAGTTCTGGGCGAGCCGTCTGTCTCCATGATGCCAAACAGCATCGGAGATACAATAGTTTGTAATGGGAAACTGCTTTATTCAGCATTTTTAACAGTTTTAATCATCCAGTCCATTTGTTTTGGAGAGGAAGAGACCTCTGTGGATAATCCGGCTCCTGGTTAAAACCTCCTGAAAAATTAAACTGGAGGAATTCTAATCGGGAGATGTTTGAGCTGGTTGCAATCTACAGTTCACCACTAGACGCTACCATACCCCTCTAAATCCTACACACTTCACCTATTTGATTTTCAGTCATTTACAGAATGTAAATATGTTATTTTCAAAACTTATTGATTACTTAAAAAAAACATATCTTGTGTTTATATACCTTTTGTACTGTGCTACACATAGTTTACTGGAACTGTATGTATGTAACAAATACAGTAATAACTACAAAGTAGTAAACTGAGTTCAGCTGGGTTTTAGCCCCCACTAGACACATGCTTTTATGGTAATATGCAGGAGAAAGTTGGGAATGTGAGTAAAGGAAGGTGATGCGGCAGAGCTGTAGCGAGCTGATACTTACCCTGGATCTCTATTACAGGGGGACAGAGGGAGGGAGAGACAGAGAGACGGTAGCAGTGAGAAGGGGAGATCGCAAAAAGGAAGCAAAATAAGAAAAGAGAAAGGGAGGGACAGAGAGAGAGAAAGGGGGGAGAGAGAGAGCAGAAATAGCAGAACTCATTGTTAAGGTTAGTACAAGGAAGCCATCACAAGACAGCCACAGTGCCACACGTTAGAGCAAAATAACACTGCTGCTGCAACCAAAAACTTAATCCAGAAATAATAATACCACCAAGCACCAGCACTAACAGGGCTGTAAGACACTTTCAGACATAAAAGCAAGGGACACAGCACTGTCTCTATCATTTCATGTTTTATTTAAATTATTTGTGTGTTATTTTTTATGTATCTGTCAATTTTCATGTATTACTAATGTTTTAAATGAACAATCCCAACTGTAAGTACACAACATGAGTTATAGTTTTCTTTAACAAAAGAATATAAATAAAAAGGATGTAATTTTGTAATTTACTATACAGACATTGTGTATTTATGTATTCATCTGCCTGGCAACTGAATGGATGCTGCTAGAGAGAAAGCACTAATTATTGGCTGCTGCATCACTGAGTGAAGTGTTTCAGGACAAATGAGAAAATACCTGCAGTACTACTTAGCACCACTAGATGGCAATGTGAACCTACAATTCCTTTGACCTAGACTGAAGGGACTGTGCTTCCTGACCTCAGTGAATGACTCAATTTTCTGTATGTGTGTGTTGGTATTAAAGGCAATCACTGTATTTTGACTCTGTATTGTATTGCTTTTATCACACATCCAAATCAGATACAAACCATAAATCAACATCCAGTTTTGGTCCAGGGAATATTGTTGCTGGTGTTGATTTAGGGTACACTGGCACTACTAGCAACAGTGAAAAGCTCATAGAGATAAGAGAGGCCAAATGATCTGAATGTCCTAATATCCACAGCTACAGCACCGGATGATACTAGTAGAATTGATGTTGTCTTTTTGACCTTGCAAAACACTATTGACGTCTACAATTCTGTCTGATCTGTCTAGTGTGAGAGGAGCCTGAGCTCAACAGCTGACTGTTACCTTTACGAGCCTTCTTCTGTAGTTTCATGGTGTCAGATGACTTCTTCTTGATCTCGTGGCGTGACCTCTTGTACTCTTGAAACAGGATGAACAGAGATGCTTTAGTAAAAGGAATGTAAAGCCCCCTCTGTGTGAACTTACATTACCTCGGATTTACAATATTAACTTAAACAGAAACACGTCCAGGGGCTATGAAACCAAGAGCTCATTGATAAACACTTGACATTTGACTGGAGGGAAATACTGATCCTTAGTGATTACAGTCAGCATTGAGCAACATCTTTGATTTGTATCAGTCAGTCCAGGCTATCAGTATAGCAGATCTGAAACCAGTAAGATTCATACAAAAGCATGACAAACTGTAATAAACGGGAGAAATCAATTTTCTATGCAAGATGTAAGCAATGCATATATTTATGATTTTATCATCTAGTAACCGTAGTAATTAATATGTATGCGTCAGCATGTGACAGAGGGGATTCTTTCCTGACCAAGCATGTTTCATAGCTACTCAGTAAACAATGACAGAAATGTACCCTAACGTAATATTATGATGCCACATTGTTGCCCTCATTCTATCTATTTGTAACTTTTTTGAAATATGAGGTCTGCTTACAACCTTGATAATCTCTATTAACAGATGCCTGCATAATTATGCAGGACCTGTAGGCAATGGGACAAGATTTTGGTATTGGAATTGTTCTGGTTTCTGTTTGTTGTCCCAGTAGTATTGACCAATCATGTTTGGATGGCAGGCAAGCAGTCCATGTTAAGAGGCGGTCTCAAGCATTCTCAGAACCCACTGGTTGTTGTCTGATAAGAATTAGCTTTATGTTAGCTCTTTATTTTTATCTATTTGCATTCATATGCAGGTAACTGTTTATAGAGATTTGCAAAAATGACCAGTGCATAGAAGGAGGCCCCCAGAATATCTGCTGGCTACACCAGATGGAACATTGGTCATTGCTCCCAGAGGCTTCATTGTCGTTAATCTGATAGCCAGTAGGTCACAGATTGCGACCTCGTCTAATAGTGTTCTTAATGGGTTACTTATTTTTGAGCCTTTTGCAACACAGAATGTAAAGAAACACAGTGGTATCAGTAAAGTGCAGCATGACTTGTAGTCAGTCAGTGGGATTTCATCTCCCTGTGATGGATGGCGCAGGATGAAAGTCCCAAAGATGTCCAATCAATGAGTTACCTTTCAGTCAATATGACTTCATGCTACCAGCTCTTGGTTTGTTTGTTATAAGTAAGTGAGAGCATGAAATTGACTAAAACAACAACAAACAGTTTTTAACTTGGTCTTATCCAACTACAGGTGTGACAGCACCCTCAGGTGGTGATCAGACTAATAATAGCACTGCATTAAAAACCCAGTTTTTTCTTTATTTCAATCACTAGGTTGACATATTGAAGGACCTGACAAAGAGGGCTCCACCCTTAAAATGGGTTGAAAAAAAGTTGACCCTGGGTTAGCATTTGCAAAATCACCTTGGAATGTCCTATAGTGGCATATAAAGTACTTGCAAGCCCACCTTCCTGGTAGATTGAATTGAAATCTGGACAGTGAAAATCAGCACTCACTTTGTGACTGTTGAGACGATAACATCTGACAATTGCAAATCTTCTCTTATAGCATTAGAAATTATTAATCAAACTGGACTTCCAAGATCATATTTCGTGATTTTAAAAGTACTTCTATGCACAATGCTTTAACAGGTAACTGGACATGATTAAAAAACTCTTTTAGAGTTTCGTTAAATTGCTGTACCGGATAACTGACGATTAAGGGATCTACATTGATTAAACTTTTCTTTTATCCAACCTTCACAGTGGTCAATCAGCTACAGAGCTGCACTTTGCAAAACAGTAGGTACTTTATTTAAATTTACTTCAGCGGGGAGGATGTGGGGCTGAAACTATGTAATTTAGTAGTTTCATAAATTAGCATCACAACATGCTGTGTGTGTTTACCTTTGGCATGATCCTTATCCAGCTGGTTTGCTGTCTTCTTCCAGTCCTCAATCTTGTCCTGGAGAGGAGTGATCAGACTCTCCATCAAAGCACTGTGGGAGAGATTTAAGAAGAAGGTACATAACATAAGAGACTGCTTAGACCCTATGCCAATACCTACTGCTTTGTTTCATTTAAAATGAATCCTCAGACAAACATTTTCATTGTGTAGTGTGTTGAAAAGAGATCGACTTAATGTAAATAGTAGCGACCCCCATATTCCCGACCACAAAACCCCACTGAAAATGATACGTCTCTGGAATGAGATCCTTACACATATTTCCCTCCACGAATCATTCCACTTTGCAATTTTAGTATCTGGAACACTGCCCCCCCTCCCTATTCACACATGTATACATGTGATACAAATGTATATACTTACATTAAAATGGAACATGTGCACATATACACTGACACACAATAGCTTTTAGATTGACTCTGTTTTCAAAGGGACCCCTGTCATTACCATGGTCATAGATTATTATCATCATCATTATCATCTCCATCAGTGTAATAGCTTGTGCCGTGGAAAAGTCATTAGAGAGTATGGAGAATGAGGTAAAGGCAAACAATGGTTGAAAACAGACTCTTGGTGAGGTTTCCTGAGTGGTCCGAGTTGTGTGCCAGTGGTTGTATTCATTTACAGTCATTTCAATATGTACAGACAGAGCAATGTTCCTAATGATATCCATACAGCTGACAAGAAAACCTCAACAAGTAGTTGCCCCATCATAACCCTAAAAACAAGGTCAGCTTTAGATGGAAACACTAAAGGTTTGACATTTGAAAAATCCTGATGGGCTACAGTGTAAGGGCCCTGACACACCAGGCCGCTGGTCGGCTGTTGGTCAATGTCAGGCCATCAGTGAGCATCTGTCACTCTAGTTTTTGCAGTGTGTCCCCCACTGTTGGCGCTAGTTGGCCCTTGGCAGCTTTTTGTTTGTCCAATTCAGCATGTGGAATCAGCGTCGGAGTAAGTGGACCCTGTCAGTAAATTAAATCGCTTGGATTGGCCGCTCAGCTCAGTGCACAAGAAGAGAAACACAAGTGAGGAAAGTAAACAAACGACTAAAGTCAAGGGGGCATGAGATCAAAACAAACTTGTGTTATATAAGGTTGGATTATGTTTCTAGCCATTTGCTTTGGTCTTTCAACTTCAGGATGTGCTGTTATGTGCTAACTGGCTAACCAGTGTCTTGAATCCATCCTGTCAGTCTTCCGTTTTCCCTTTTTTTTTTTTTAATGTCAAATACAGAGTACCGCCTCCTGCTGATACACAAAGCCAGTTGGCCATTGGATGTAGTCTCTGCTGGATCTTTAGGTGCAACTTTTTGGCTAACACACAGGCAACATGGAGTGATGCAACAATCAGCCTTCGTTGCCACTAGTTCTTTGATGTTGGCTTGGTGTGTCTGGGCCTCAGATTCAACAAAGGAAGGAAAGGAAGCAAAGGAATGAGGTCAAGGAGGACAGAAACAGTGAAAAGCGAAGGAAGGAAAGATACAGATCTTACTTAGTGAACTGGCGAAGTTTGGCTTCAATGCTGCGATGCCTCATGCACATCCTGGTCAGAGCTGAACCGATATCCCTGGTTGCTCCTGGAAACACAAAATAGCCATGTTCATATGATGAAACACACACACACAGACATGCATATACACACAGATGCTACCAAAGTCTACACATTTACCACTGAAGGCCCTTTTTGTTGCAGAGAAACAACACAAAGCTGTGATCAGTGTTTACATTACAGCTATTAGTGTGCTGTGTAAAGTAAATGCTGGTAGAAGCATTGTATTCTTCAAACAGATGAACAACTACCAAGCTTTTGTATCTTTTCACATTCAGCAGTATTTACACAAGACCTCAATCTGCCTCTCGTAGATACTACACACACTCCCTGCTTCGTCCAAATAAAGTAGTGTCTCGTGAGTGTGTGTTTGTGTGAGAGCCAGCGGCTCAGGGACCCAGATTCGTGAGCAGCTAACCTGCAACTGTAAACACCAGACTATTTTAAGGCAGAGTAGACCCATGTGGAAAAAGCTGACCCCGGAGTTAAAGTCAGTTTAACTGATGGCAGACACTGCCAACTTCCAAACAAGGTGCTCAGAGCTGCTGCCTCAACTGTGCAGGTGGAGAGCCAACAAGAAAAACATTATTATAGCTTCAGTCTTATGCTAAGACTCAAGCTGAGGTATGGCTTATATAGTATACAGTGCCTCGAGAATATCATAATCACTGCTGCCACTGTAATGTACACACTGGAAAATTCAGATTAAACAGCAGCCAAATGGGATTTCCTCAAGAGACACTGTTTAATCACGAGGGCTTAGACAGGCTTACACAGTAAAATGCAGGGAGTGCTGAGGGAGGAAGGTTGTTATTCTAAAATGTTATGCACCAGATTAATACTTTCATCCAAAACTGAAAAAAATCAATGTTTGGAAAAAAGGGGGTGGTAACTTCTCTAAAATGATTCAGTCAACAGTTTCATAATGAATAATGTAACCTTTCCGGCAACACCTTACATGTGCTGTGACTACATATTGAGGAAAAAATCCAGCTGCTGTGTTCTTTAACTTAACTGCAAATTAAGTTTTGAGGTTTTTTTTCCTTCAGTAAGCTAACTTCATCAAATAAAAAGCACACTCTGAAGATATGTAGCCATGTAACACTGGGGGTGCTGCCATTGTTCCGATGTCTCATGGTTACAAAGCCCCAATAAAAATAAATGTCCCATTTGGCCCACAGTCCAGTATCCTGAAAAACAAAGGTGCGTTGCTCCGTTGGGCATTTTCTCCAAAATAGCTCCAGACTCCACCCAAACACAAGTGCATGGCTAATTATGATACACAATGATGTCATAGGACCTTTCTTCTATGTCATGACCCGTCCTAAGCCGCCTCTGATTGGCTTACCCTGATATTCTTACCCTAGGCCCAGTATCACTTCTCATTCCTAAACCTACGTAACCCAACCAACAAAGGGTGAGAGTAACAGGGAATGACATGCAGCAAAAGGCCATGGGTCAAAATCAAACCCCCAGCTGCTGCAGACAAAGATTTTGTACATGGGGCACCTGCTCCACCAGGTGAGCTACAGAGTGCCCTGTGATGATGTCATTCTGCACAAAAAATAGCTATGTGCTTCTGTTTGGGAGAATGTGTAGCATATTTTCATTGAAACAGTCCTTCAGAGCGGCCCTGGTTTAATGGGACATTTTTTGGACTACGGGGCTTTGAATTTTTGAGCCCTCTGAACAATGAGCATTCCCTGTAACATGCTAGTGTTCAGCAATGTGGGCTGGTTGGTCGGTCCACCACTTTGGAACAGACTGAAACTGACTATTTGATGGAATGACTTTCGGTTTTGCACAGATGTCCATTGTCACCAGCGGCGTCACCATCAATCAGTCAATCAATCAAACTTTATTTATATAACGCCTTTCATACATCAAAAATGTAACCCCATGTTACCCATATGGGTAACATCTCTGTTTAGGGGTAATCTATACTGACAACTTTTAGATGGATTATCATAAAGTCTGGTAGACTGGTTAGTTAGAAACACTTAAGTGATTTCATGTCAGGCCATGAGCAGATTTTAATGACCAAATACTGAATACTAAAAATAATGCCATTGCCATTACCTGCAGCTTTTTTTTGTTTAGTACTAATTACCAAATCTTATCCTCCTAACTTGGGAGGCTAAGATGAGGAACATAGTGAAAGTCACCTGCTTAATATAGCCATGTTAGCATTTGGCTCAAAGTAGTCTCTATATACAGACTCTACATTCAGTGAATGTAGAGTCTGTAGGCAAACCCTGGAGATCTTGCCTCCAGAAGAAGAGCGGAAGAGCCCTGGTTTCCAGTTGTAGGCTGTTTGTAGTCCACGTGATATTGACCAATCACGTTTGAGCCGGCTGCAGTTGTTGCCAGGTTAAACGGTCTGTGCGGTGAACTTACTGGCGTCACTGCAAACTCTGAATCCATCACAATGGTTCAGCATATTTACATATACGGAAGTCGGAAGTCGGCCTCCTCTGCCCAAATGAAACCGGAATGCCAAAAAATCTGGGGTCTGCCCCCAGAGGCTGTATCGCCGTCTGCCGGAAGTCAGACACTGAATACAGCCGATCGGTTCCGAGAATGGGCTCAAAGCACTGCTTTGAAGCACAGTCAGAATCTGTTTTATTGCTGGGTAGCTTTACACATACAAGAAATCTGCTTTGGTGTAGGCTATTGGTACATAACAATTAGGATACCACAAAAGACAAGAAATGTGGAATCGAAAAAAAAATAAAAATAAGATTATGAAAAAATACTACAAAAATATATACAATATACACATTTTTAACCGTTTTTTAATGTAAAATGTATATGTTTGTTTTTTATGTTAATGCCATACAGGACAGAACCAAACCTGCTTTTTATTTCACAGTTAAGCATGTTGGATATAATGGCATTATCTCCTACATTAGATTGTGTAAACCTCAGCCTTGCCTTGGGATTTCCTCTGGTCCTAATTCAAAAATAAATGACCTCATGCTGCCCTGGTCTGATCAACCTGCCTTACTCATTAGCACCTTAATGGTAATTAATATCACTCATTTAACTCCCTCACCAGCCAGTCTGTAGATTCAAACCAGCAACCCGCTGATCAAAACAATCATAAGGCACGTCCTCATATATGTTACCACATACCCATACACTAACAAATGCCAAACCACACACACAAACACACTGACACTTACACTGTGTGTTGTTCACATCCAGAGAGAAGTGCTCCATTCATAATTAACAAATTCCTCCCTCACGCCTCCTGTTCTACCCGGCAACCATTCATTAAAGCAGAGCCACCCTCCCCCAAACACACACATTCATATACACTCACACATACACACACATGCTTGGTTTACACCATGCATGCCGATCACTTGTACAGCTAAAGCAGTATTTTGAACTGTGTGTTGACAGTGTGATCTAATCCCAAATCAATGAGTGGATCATGAAACTGAAGCAAAGAAAAACAGAAAAGTAAAGAAAAAGCAAAGTCACATAACTGATGAAGAGAGTGTGTGTGATATTCTGTATGGAAGGAAGAGGAGGATTGGGGAAGAAATGAGAGAGGAAGAGATGGAGGAGAGATGAGAGACCATGAATACGAGAGGGGTCGCCTTGCTCATTTTAATGAGCTCACTGCTGGCGAGAGAAACATGGGACTGGAGTTACAGCCAAGTGTGTGTGTGTGTGTGTGTGTGTGTTTGATCTCTACATTTATGATGGTCCTCTTCCTGTTTGTCTGTTATTACCATGCCTCTCAGACTCCATAGGAGATCAACAACTAGATGAGGGGCTGTGCAGAACACACACACATCTGGAATACAGCTACTGTGTGTATGTGTGTGTAAGTCAGTGTTAATTTGCTTCCAACGCAAATCAACATGTTTCAGCACTTTATTTAAACTACAAGAGGCTCAGCAATGGCTCGAAACATGCTCGTCTGGCTTGTTTCTTGCAAATTAACCAAAACAAGTAGACTTGCATTTGATTCAGTGCTGTTTTATTGTATGTTGATGAGGGTTAATGAGAAAGTCTTTAATGTCCCAGGGGGTAATTTGGTTTGCAGCAGTGGTCAACACAACCAAAATCATACGACAACACCATAAAATAATACAATAAACAGACATAAGTGTATATTATATACAACAGATGTCACCAGAATATGAATTGCAATGAGACACAGTGTTCAGAGTCCAATACAACTTCATTAAAAAGGTGACTTGTTTAAAAACCCAACTGCTGACGGGACAGAAGACCTCAGATAACTGTTCGATTTGGCCCTCCAAAAAAATGAAAACCTCCTGCTTGAAGGCAGGAGCCGGAACTCTGCATGAATAGGGTGATAAGAGTCTGCCAGGATGGCCTTTTGCCCTGTGGGTAGCTGGGTTAATTGTTCACCAAAGCCTGTACTCTTGTGCCCAGTAGCAGCAGCAGATAGACGAAGTAAGCAACTAGTTGGTGAACACTGTGGAACATTTAGCAGCTAAGGACAGTACAATTTTTATGTCAAAACATCAACAAACACCACTGACCACTCTGTGAGTTTCATGGCTTTGAAAACGAATGTTGAGGGTGGTTTTAGGACAGGTTCACACATGGCCGTAGGCAGCACTGTTAAGCCAAGCAGGGGAAGGCCAAATTCTCCAAAAATGAGCAATCGTCACTGCTATTATATCATCCCAGAAATGGGGCTCAAAGTGCAAAAGCGAGTCGTTAAACCTTCCATGTAAAGCAGCTTATAAAAAAATAAAATATATATAAAGTATATAAAAATATATACATTTTTGTTTATTATAGGTTTTTTTTCACTTATGAAAGTGTGCTAGTATTCTGAGATCAATCCCCTACCCCCCAGCCCCATTCTGTCTGTCTGTCTGTCTCTACGTCCTGCAGAGAGAAGGAGGGACTCCCTCCTGGGAAATATGACTTTACTCTTTTTCCTTCCTCTCCCCCTCTCTCGCTCTCCCCTTCCTGCTTTTGATCTGCTTCCTGGCTGCAAAGCTCCCTGTGAAAATACATGTGTGTCTATGTGTT